GTGTCACCAGGTCACCCCTCACGCGGGGAGGGGCTTTGTGGAAGCGGTGACTGTGAAGGGCAGGCCAGGAAATCGGCAGAACTGGGGTGTGAGGGGGTCCCGAGAAGGAGACAGAATGAGAGGAATAGACAGGTGAGAGGACAGGAAGATCAGTGCGGGGTCCGTAAAGAGGCGGGAAAACAGAGGATGTGGGAGAGACTTGTAAAGCGACGGGTAAGACAGCGAGTAACTCGGGGAAGTAGCCAGAGGAGAAAGAAAATGTAGAAATATAGAGAGAAGGGAGGAGCTCCAGAGATGAAGGGGAGCCAAAAGGGTGAGGGGACCCTGGTTAGCGGAAGTGGGAGCAACAAAGGACAGGGAATTTCAGACGGAGAGAGGGGTTAGGAGAAGAGCTGGGGGAGCGGAGTGCAGGAACAGAAAGGAGGGGAGGTGGGTGACAGCAGAGGGAGAAACGGCACTGAGCTAAGCTGGGGGTGTCAGTGAGTGGGGTCACAGAAGTGTAACAGGAAAGAGTGTCATGGGGGAAGCATCACGGGAGAAAGATGGGGACCAATCAGAAAGATTAGGGAGAAGGAGAAACTGAAGATGAAAGCTTTCAAGAGTTTTGCAGAACAAATGCAGGGAAGTGAATAGAGAGAAGGGGAGAAATCGGGAGGGGAGAGGGAGATAGGAGAGGACAGAAGTGGAGAGAATTCAGGACAAGAGGGACACACAGATCCATAGACAGGAATATATAGTATCAGAGGAAGAAGGGGAGCCCCTGCCTGCCTGAGTGATGAGCGGGTGGGATGTGGGTGATGAAGTCATGATATATTGATTTTTGGCTTTATAGTCAATTTAACACTTGCTGCATTTTCGTCACACAGAGGAGAATGAGAATTACAAAACTCCAGTTTAATAAGACTGCATTTAATAATTAATTTCATGACCATATGGTTTCCATGTGCAACCCTCATGCAGCGGAAGGGGAGAGACCTGTGTCAGTCAGTCATGGGTCCCTTCTCATTCCTGGGATGGCATGAGGGATGTGACCTGGGACAAGAAATGACTGAGTCTGTCACCACGTGATGCCTTTTCAAGGAATATGAAAAGTGTTGTGTCCTTCTTTCTTTTACATGGAATTTACTTTTTTCTTACTACCTCGCTCCATTGTTTTTATAAAAAGCAAATTGAGATAAATCTTAGTCTGAAGAATTTCTGCTATTTTGTAAATAGTCATTAAGTTATGATATAAACTTTGGTGACATTACCAGCTCTTATCATTTTTTTCTAAATATGAGGTAGTCTAAATTTTCTTTTAAACTTTGACCCTAGAAGTAATTACAGTAAAAAAAAAAAATTCAAAAGGATTTCCCTTCTGATAACATTGTGTCTGGTTTAGAGAGAAGCCCAGCATTCTTTCTACTCTTTATCATGTTGAAACATCCACTGGTACTTATTAATAATATTAAGCTACTTCAGTGTGCATTTGGTGAGGATGTCTGCGGTGAGAACCTAGTTTGGTGAGTTAGGCTGATATTCAGCAGCTTTTGTCTTCCGTTTACATGATTTGTTAAATTAGTGAGCTGGGACCTACCAAGTAGCTGATTCCTCAAGTCCCTCTTGTCTATTCTCTGAAAATGTGGAAGGATGGACCGGATGGACCTAAAACTCGGCTCCCATGCAGCTCATCTCTTCCCTGTGAAGTAATTTGATCAGCATATTTCCATAGCTAACCCTTTTTTAAAGTTTTCATTACCAAAATGTGTGTTCATTATTTTATAGTTTTTAACTAATTCTCTGTGATTTCCAGGAAAAGAGGAAGGAAATCCACCCAGGTAGCCGGCCCTTGTAGAAGTTCCTCCCCAACCCCTCACACTCCAGGTCTCAGGTGTGGGGAGTGTGAGATCTGTAGCCCAGTGACAGGAAACAGGTCTGGGGAGCAGGTCAGCACCCCCAGAGAGACTTAAAGATGCCATTTCCTGGGTCCCCCTGCAGACCTGCAGAACCATAACTCCTTAGAGTGGGTCCTGATCACCCCAGAGACCTGCATGCCCATTAATGATAAAAGTTCTCATCTGGGTTCCTCCTAGGTCTCATGGGAATTTCAAGGAGTGCTGTCACCTGTGCCCTCCCCTGGGGAGCTGGGTGAGAGCATCATTGTTGTTTAAGTGAGGTGTTCATGTGACTCTCAGGTGAGGCCAGGGATTAGCTGGGAGCTCCTGGACACAGTTCTGAGAGTGAGAGCAGGCTTTGGTCAAGGGGAGGTAGCGGGGTGCTATGTTGGGTTTGTGGGGTCAGAAGTGCAGCCCACATTCTCATTGCTGTGGGAATTTGTAGACGTCTGTGTAAGTGGAGGGCACGTGAAGACAGGAAAGAAAAAACTCACAGTTCTGTCTTCACTTAGGAGCTCCTTGTCGCTGACTGTCCTGTGACAAAGGACAAGAGACGGCAACTTTCTCAGCATTTCTACGTCCTTCTGCCTGTCAGTTTGGAGGAAGCAGACGAAGGACCTGTGCCGAAGCCGTTGAAGGCACATTCTCATGATGCAGACGTGATTTCTCCCCAGAAAGTCTCCTGAGGAAACAACCCAGAGTAGGAGGAGGACGAGGACGAAATGGCTACTTCTCAGGTAAGTGTTCTGTCCCGGGTCACATGTTATGTCTGCTTTTCCCTATAGGGCAGGGTCAGATGCTTGGTGTCCTGAAGAAGGGAGGTGTAGGTGTGTGTCCTGTGACTGCAGCATCAGGGCTGTAAAACGGATAAGAACATGCATGACAACCCAGGATGGCCTCAGTGCTCAGAATAGTCCAAAAGTTCTGAGGGGGAAAAAAAGTGTAATTGGAAGCGACTTACTCACTGGATTGGTAAGAAAGACATACTGTTTAAATGCACTATTAGAGTCACAGAACTGGGGAGCTATATGTGCATTGAAATTTGCATAAAACTAATGTTTTTATGATCAGATTTAGATTATGATTTCCTTATTTGTTCATTTGTGCCAATAATATCACAGCAGTGATGGTGTGTCCTTCCGTGTGCTTCTCCCATTTGTTCCTTCCACCTGATTTTCACTTGGTTGAGGTCCTGTCTTCACTATAAGGTTAACATTTTTTTCTTTATCATTAATAAAGGTCTGGAGGGACTTATATATAATGCGCAAAAACCATCACATTTCATCTGGAAACTCCGTTTTCTTCTTAGTTTCTCTACTTTGGAAAATGAAGGCCCTCAGCTTTCTTTACTAGAGATAATTGGCTTTTGGAGTGGAGGCTTGTTCCTGTAAATTTTCATT